AGTAATAAATAATGTGTGAGAAATAAATAAACATTTCGAACCAAGAAAATAATAATAATAACAGTGACTCAATCTTATCATTTCGATTTTATGTCTTAACATCAATTAATTAAATTAGTCTTGACTATTACTATACAATGACATGTCAATACAGGCGACGGGATTTACCGTTACCCACGTGACATATAGGTTGTGGCGTAATGTTTAAAATACCCCAAGGTAGTTTCAAACGTCATTATAATTATTATTATAGGAAGTTGTGGTTTTTATTTGTATTCATTAGTTGTCTTAAAAATCAAATGTACCTATACATGAATTCAGAATAATTTTTAACATTATAACGTAAGTATATTATTAGAACAAAATTGCGACTAAAAATAAAAGGCACAGGTTTCTACAGTTATTATATAAAGTAATAACTCTGGCATCCTATTAATGTCGCCAGCTATTGAGGTCGCTGTCATTCATTCCTTTCTGTCAATTCCTCATTCTACTCATCTTAAACAAAGGACTCTGACAATGATTCCTCTGCGGACGATCGCCCCGTACTCTTACAAGTATGACTGACGTCAAGTCTATAATGTGGCATCATCCATTCATTGTCTAAGAAAGTATTCTAATTGAACCTAGCAAACATCTTTGCCTTATCAAAAAGGTAAATAAAACTCATACCGTTAGCCATAGCGGTAGGACAGCCTAATGTAAGTTCTAAAATAGAACAATATTTTTCTGTCGGTTACCCGTATCAAATTGGTTATTAATACAGTATTGGTTAATAGTCCAAAAGGGATCTTTGATTTGTATTAAAGCTATTCACTGTCTTTAACGAGAGATGATGATTTGACGTCTCTAGAACCCATTATCTCGATAATCCTATCAGCGATCCGGGAGATCACGTCATCAATCAGAGAAGGAGCTTTCACCACATAAATACCTACCGACACCGACATAGAATGTTTGAGAACCCTCTAGTTATCCGATTGTATAATAGGTATTTATTCAACAAACTGAACATGAATTCATGAGAAATGAAGGCAACGAGATTTGTTTATGAATTGTTTAAGAGTCCCAACAAACGAAATCTTCATCAGTAACGTTCAAATTATAGTACCATAAAGAAACTAATATTTTACTTACCTGTAAATAACAGGTACAATAAGTTATCTTCGCTTTCAGGTAATCCCAACTAATCTTCGAATTTAACCTTCCCAGTCTATATTTGATAGTAATTGTAATTTCCGCGAAGGATGTGTGTAAAGACCTAATAATAATAGTTCTATCCATTCAGAGCAATAGAGTTACAAAATATTAACTTTAAGTCGGCGAGATCTGAGTGGTTTTATTTACTCTCTAGCACATTGGATGAGACATTATTTTGAGCTTATTAGAAAAGGTATCTGTAGTCGGTTTTGTCTGCAGATTATTTTTCATTTCCATGTGATTTTCACTTTCAGTCCACTTTATACTATATTTAGTAGAGCTTTTATACCTCCATAAAAAGCTTAAAACTGTTAAATAATATAAGAACTAGTTAAGTATCTACCTATATAGAGTATTACAACAAGGCGTATTCGATAATAAGCATCGTTAGCATATATTCGTGAATAATAATTGTATGTAATAATAATAATTGTATGAATCTAATTAACCGCACACGTTGGGCACATGGAATAAAAGAAATATCCGGTTCTTAAAATTGTGTAGCCACTGCGATAGAACCTTAATAGGAAGGGTATGGGTATAGTAAGTTTTAGCAGCGTATATATGTGATCATCAATTTTGCGTGTTAGCTTTTAATTTTCCACTGATGATGGTACTGTAAATGTGGCTTTTTGTGTAAATGTGAACCTTTAGTGACTAAAACATTTTTCGTAACAATTTGTTAAATGAACGGGCACGAATAGGATGACATCGAACTCACGCGTTCTTCCATTATACATCGGGTGCTTTTAGTCGGAAACCTGAGCTCATTCGGCGGAAACAAGTGCACAAACGGTTGTTGTGAGAATTTGCGCCGTCGCTTCAAAAGTGTTTTGATCAACCTAGCGTGACTCGGCGTTATAAAAAGCATCGCTGCTCTTGCATTCAAATGAGACCGCTCCGACAAGTAAGCCACAAAGTAGAAATTTAATTTCTTGACCCGAGCTCATATCGCTGACTTCACGACAGCTCATTGCAGATGTTCACTTTAAATACCTCTATTTTCTATAATGAACTGTGCAGTAATAGGTTGAACTTTGTTGTGGTTTGTAGTTTGCGAATATGTGAAACAACGCTTTGATTGCGTAGTATATTATATAAAGGATAATGGTCGCAGTGATGAAAGGCTGTGTAGCTTTGAATGAAGCCACCCTAATATGAAGGATAAGGTTGACTAGAAAAGTGTAATCGATCAGATAGAATAATATTATTACATGACTCAAATATTTACTCGTATTTGTAATGCTTTTCATAGTGGTACCGTGCCATTTCTTCTAGGAATTGATTTCGAACCGCAATCTTAAAAGGTCCATTAGTTGCAACTACTCTAACAGATACATAATTCCAGGAAAGAACAATGGCGAACTGCCCAAATTTCTGTTTACATAATGCGTCTATTTATGAAAAATATGTAATTCCTGATCAAATTTGGTTTTGGGTTTACTATTCTGAGAAGTCAATAATTAAAGATATTCCAGTTTGATATTTTGGAGCTAATATTTTACATAAATTGAATAAAATATAGTCGGTGTATTACTAATATCAAAATCAACTGCCGAAGTCTTAAACATAGTTAATAGAAGCTGAATGGGTTTGTGATGTGATAAAAGGTACAGGACAATATTTTTTGTAAGGTATGGTCAAAAGGGATATAAATGTAATAATAATACATACCACGCCCTAGTTATTTTTTGCGAAACATGCCATTTATCCCCGAAAATGGGAACTTTTTTGTTACTTTCTCGCGTGGCATATTTGGAAAAGGAATTAACTGCTTTATTTCCTGTAATAAAGTAATTAGTATTAGATATTACTCTTATTGCAAATCAGTCAAATCAGTATTTTTGATATTACGTGAAATAACATAATGTGGGCGGACCTGTCTATGCACAGATATTGAAAACTCTTAGCGGTCAGAAGTCGCCAAACGTTAAGAAATTAGAAAGTAGGTTAAGTACTAATTATATCATATCATATATACTTATAACCAAGCTCATTATCATATACAAGAGGTTGATAGGAGGGTCACTATCTATAATCAAAACACATGTTGAAGATACGGAACTGCCCCCGAAGTGTATGAAATATACTATTACTACCAAAGTATGACACCAATATATGTACCAAAATATGACCTTTTGATTATATCATTAATTATAATTCAAATTACGTTTAATTTTATAATTAATATTGCTGCGCCCTTTAGGAGTCATATTGATTTGTATCAGTAAATTAAGACCTATGAATATATCAACATGAATGCAATAAATATTTTGACTTTGAATTTTGAAATATGTATTTAAAGAACGTAATGTTATAATATTAATGAAAGACAAAAATGATTACTGTTCGTTATCCTTAGAAGATAGACAAATGGTTTGCGTGGACTTTTTTGTAGATCTTTTGAAGACCTACAATTCTGTGATACATTAATTTAATGTCTTTTTTGGTTTAGTCAGCGTAAGATAATAACACAAAAAAAAAATTAACCTCCCCTCATTATTTTGGTTATTTTTTATAACTTACGACACTCCCACAACCAAGACGAATCTAATGACATCTCGTGATATGGAAATGGACATAAATACATACATACACTCGAAACACATAACCCTCCTTCTCGAGCAGTATATTTTTTCATTATTAAAAAAAACAATATGACGTTCTAATTAGGTGGTCAGATTAAAAGTCTTGTACGTACACTCATTACCTACTCGTATGCGTCTTCTAGAACAAATATATTTAAATCATAGTGTGATTATTTAAATGAAATATTATTTTTGTGATAATTCGTCTCCAAGCTGACGACGTTGTAGTTTCATTTTGTCTTTGTAGACATTAGCGAAATTCCATACATACGTGTTTGTTTGTTGTAAACGGATTAAACTGAATATCAATAAAGCCTTAATGGAGCTCATGCGAATGTTCATTGACGTTTATATTTTAATTTCATTTTCTGTTTATATTTAATTACGGATATTTTATATCGAAATAATGAGTTTCCAAAAAAATTATTCAAACACAAATATCAGTGAAAGACAATAGGTTTTCTTTTGGTTTAAAGACGATCTGTAATTAGATATTTACAAGCATTACTGAAAACATGCGAAATTATTTTAAAACGAATAAAATACGGATATAAATAGCTCTCGCTGTAAATGTGCCTCAGAAAGACATGTTGTGATATAAAAGGGCTATCTTTATTATATTCTCGAAATGGGGCTCGTAAAAAGTTAATATTTATGAGTTGTAGCAAACAAGACTTTGTACCGTAAAGCTATGGAAGGATTCACGTAAGCTATATCATAATGAGGCCACATTAAGACGTGATCATAATTTTGTTCCTTACTTTGTCTAATTTATTTAACAGGTAGTTAGAACCTTTACGGAGAGTACACGAAAGTAATCAAGGCATAAAATTATTAATTGTTAAAAACCTACGACTAAAAAAATTCAACACATCAACGTGTTTCTTTTTCGGACCACTGTTTCTATTTTGAACTAAAAGCTGATGCTGTTCATCGAAGTGAATGCATTTACTGTTAACATCATTTGCTAGTCATCGGAAGTTCACAGTACCGCTGTACCATTTCATATTTTTAAATTATATACCTATTTATTTTTATATAGATTTCTTTTCCTTTTAGAGGCTAATATGTAATGTATGTAAATCGTATGTCTGGAACCTCACGATTCAGGCTTGCCTAGTGTGAGGACCATGGTAAATTTGAAATTGTAATTATTGTAAACATGTTTTGTGAAATTATTTTTTTATTTTTTTACTTCACTGAAATACTTACTAAGTCTTGAAAGCTTGAAAGCATCTGCCGTGTTTATTATATCGACGAAAACTTGGAAGTCAAGGCGGCTTTTGTTCGGGGTGGAATGTTGTGCCATCGCGTACTTGAAGACGCTTTGAATTTCCACTGAGTTCTGATCAAAGACTACACCTGCAAAGAGAAAACTCACATTACAAAGGCGCTAAAGTTACTAGACACATACCCATCACATGAGATTTGAGAAAATTTCCTAAAAAGAAAGAACCCGTTGACAAGTGCCATAATGTAAAATTTAATCAGCATAAATTAAGGAAGTATTATCAACGGAATACTGTCCTACAATAAATAATTTTACCCACATTTCTTGGGGTACCGAAATAATGGATTCGTTACGAAAAACTGGATGCTATTGCTTTGAAGAGAATAAGATAATAAGTGGTAAAGAAACGTGGTTTTCTGTAACGACAAAAAAAAAGATAGTATTGAGTTGTGTGCCGTTGAGGCATTGGTGAATCTTTTGAAGGAAAATGCGGCTTTCCTTTATCACGGCGATATGACTATGGGGAAAACCATAGAACAGTAAATACAGTAAAAGGGCTTAGTGGGCGTGTCATATGTGCCACAAATATGTGGAGTTCCGCATAGTTGAGCTCAGTCTGCCATTTCCGCTTTGTACGTTATGGTCGTTTCAATTCTCAAGCGCAAAACCTCGAAAATCGTGGAAAAGGCTTTACTTTGCTACTTTGGAGTGAATATGTAATAGTCATACCTGTAATATTTATTTTTGGTGGTGGTGTTTTAGTATCGTTAAGTCTTATATAATTTAAGTTTAATTTTTTTAATTTTTTGCTTCCAAAAATATTACATGTTAGTCGACTATTTTGGAGAACAATAACAGGCTTAAATAGTTTTTTCAGCTATTGCCGCTAGATGGCAGCACATTGAATGAAATTTCAATATAAAATTCAAACTTCGTAATTTGCGTTAATAGGTATTGAACTTTCAACGAAATGCCCACTGGGTAAAATTTAAATTATGTTACATCCTTTTAAATTAGAAACTACGACCAATCATTATCCATATTTTATAGTGTTTAACATTATGATAGTATTAGCTTCTCATAGTAATTGAGGCTTAAAGCCCTTCCATTGTTTTTTCTTCCGAGGGGAACACAAATATGAGATAGTGTACATGTCGCGGTGGTGGGCTAGAATACTAATGATTAAATAAAACCTTGGTTGTCCATTGGTTTATGAATATGACTAGTGTGCGAGCGGCATTCACAATTTATTGTTTTTCGAGCATACGCGCTCTGGTACTATTCCGGATGGAATTTATAGCTTTAGTCTGGCCGGAGAAAAATATGGATTTATTGTCCGAGCTTTGCAACAAATCGTTATTGCTTTTAGGGTACCCGTGTATGGCACCCTATGTAATCGGATAATACATAACAATTTCAAATTGAGACTTATTTTAATAAACAGGTTAATAAATATTTCATTTTATTTTAAGTTATGAGAGAATAATGGGTCATAAACTTTTATTCGGTTTTCGACGTTGTTGTAATTTTAGAAAATTATTTTCGTATTGGTTAGGATTGTAAAACTTGTGTGAATAAACATTCACTCAAACACCTTTTCGTTTGACTGTTATATATAAATAGGTCAATGAGTTTAAAAAGTTGGCTTAGACACAGAATACCCTTGCAATCTAGCCTGGACTTCCTGTTTTCACTTTTATTTCAGACTGTTAAAGCCTCAGACGAGGAAAATACGTGGCTTACTTTTTATTGTAACGCGAATGGTATGGGGTGACAGAAACTTTCCTTATTTTTCACGTTCGCCACGACAGATGCCACTAATGCCTTGGGTCACTTTTTACAACCTTGTACAATTTTCAGATCTTACACCTCGCTTTCTCGAAAGTGCGTGTTCCGCTTCAAGCTTGCTACATTATTAATTTTGCCTAGAAGAGAAGTTTTATAATATTTTATTTTACAGTACCAAATAAATAATATTTCACTAAATCACAAAAGTTTTAATGAAATTATAGAGGTTCGGAAACCTCCTTTTCCTCATCCTCAAATAGCTATTAAAACATTAAAGTTTTATTCTTAAAGTAGGTAGGTAGGTAGTAGGTAGGGAGGTTATTAAGGTAGTAACCCCTTTTATTTGTCACGAATTGTTACCCCTCGTGACCCACAGACGCAAACAACTTGGCGATTAAAAACTTTCATGACATGTTTATAGACAAAGTAACATTTTTCTTTGAATAAAAGTTATTGAAACAGTGTGATTTTAAAACATTCCAACTGAATAATTGACAACTTTTATAAACTCACACACGGCGCTACGGCTAAAAAGTCGTTGAAAAACCAAATACAAAGGATACGACAACAAGCATAATGAAAAATTCGTGAGGTCCGCTGGTTCGTACCGTGGTTTACTTGGCATAGCGTCTGACACGGTTTGCTAGACGACGTCGGTTCGATCCGGCCGGATCGAAGGATTTTTTTCGACGCTGTCCTACAGCGTCAGAAGATATTTATGAAATCCAGTTTTGATAATGGGAAGTGACTTTGAATATCGGTTTTCAGACGGGAGTTCGTTCCATAGTTGTGCAGCCTTAATCGTAAAAGAGTTTTTGAAATACTCCGAGCGAGTGAAAGGTGGTTTCAGAAGGTTATCCATTTTTGACCTAAGTTGACGGTTGTTCGTTCCTTAAGGTAAGGTGGAGCACGAGGGTCATATAGAAAGTTATAGAGAAAACCGAGAACGTGCTCCTCACGGCGCAACTTGATGGGCAGCCACTGCAGCATTCTCCTATGTTCAGACACATGATTATTTTTTATTATTATCTTTAATAATAGTGCTAGTGTTTCCTACTAATTTCAACAAGAGTATGTACATACACCATTACCTACATACACCCAATGACTTCGATACCAGTCGGCACTATTTATTCAGCCACAGGCTCCCGCCAGCATGACTATCAAGCCATGAGAGCTTCCTTCGATATGTTTCTGCTACAGAAGGTAGTCCAACGGACGCGAGGTGCAGATTTTCATAAGCCAAACTCGCTACTCCTTTTGATTTTATCACTCTAACCGAGAGTCTTCACCCCACGTATGAGTTGCAGTGGTCAATATGGAAATCCGAGAACCATTTCAGGTCATAAACTGGGCGATGTAGAGTCAACATGATTGAAATGGGGATATATCAACCAGACTTAAAACCATTGTGTTGCATTGTCCCCTACACAAGGCATGTCTCATTTGCTCTCGTGCCCACAGTTTCCGACCAGCTGCACCTGCGAAGACCTGCTAAAGGCAACAGATAGCCCCTATCTGATAGAGATGGCTGCTTACTGGGCCCAAGGAATATAACACTGGTTTGGTATTTTATTACTTTTTGTTATTGTCTCAACAAAAATGAGAACTTCAATAAAACAGGAAGTTAATCCGGTTAAATGTATTTATTTTTGGTTTGATTCGCACACATTCACATTTATTTATGTATAATATACCCATACATATTAAATATTGATTCACATGCGTACTTATTGTTGTATAATTTTCAGTGAAATATAATTTCTTACAACTCATTGTATGAAATTCAGGTCAATAACTTTATTGTTACTTACTTCGCAGTATTCTGTGCTGGATTCGCTAAAGAAATTTCAACTGTTGTGGTTTCTTGTCAGAATACCATTTTTATTGTTCATGAGAGTATTTTATAAATAATATTCATTATGTTTAAGTTTTTATTGAGTTTCGCCGCTATGCTATTAAATATTGTTTGTAACGGTACTCCATTAGTTTGTTATAATTATTAAACAAAGATGAAAAAACGATAAGATGAAGAAGAGAATATTCGTCTTCATGAATCACTTCGATCCGTTTAGATTCGAACCAACTTCTTCCAGCGAACCGTGTCAGGCGCTATGGCAACTAAGCCATGGTACGAACCAACGGACCTCACGAATCTTTTTTCCCGTGTTTGTTCGTTATGTCTTTAATAATTATAATATTCGTTATGTTACAGTTTATCTGTATTTTGAGCTTTCGGACAATTTCGGACATTTTTATGTGATAATTATAACTTTCTATCATCTCGAAGTTACATAAACTATTTATGTATTCCACGTCTAACGAAGTATAATTACTTTGTCATAAGCAATAATATTCTCGTGAATGTGATCTGTTGGTATTTTATATTAAATATCGATTTCCAGAATCCTACGGACTCCTAAAAACTAGTTTTAATTAAGAACGGTCAGCAGCATTTCAAGCTAAATATTAACGGATCGTATTCCACTGCCCTGGAGGCAATATTTAAAAAAAAAATGTATATACCTTGATGTGCTGTTGACAGTACAATCAGAAATTTCTTTTTTTGGATTTTCGTTTTACAATAAATAGAATCGATGACCTATAAATGAATTGACAACCTTGGTGGCCCAAGGGTTTGCATTGCGGACGCTGGACGAAGAGGTCCGAGTTCGATTCCCGGTAGGACCTACTTGGGGAAATGAACTTTTCTAAATTGGTTTTGGTTTGGGTGTTCTATATAGTACCCCGGAGAGTGAATTCCGTTGGTCTTTTTTTATAATAATATTAAGTGACGGGACGAACAAGTCGTGCGCCTAATGGTAATTTATGGTAATGGTAATAGTCACTTATATCCTGCATTTTAATGCACATTAAATCCATCTTTACAGAGTTATATTGCAAAATATCTATCCTTATCTTTGACTGTAGTTTCGCCAAGCCATCCAGGCTGTGCATTTCCTCCATTCCCTTGAATCATCGGTATTCTACAGGATATATTACGGAGAGTGTGCGATGCGAGATTCCACCTTCCTCATTCCATCATCATGGGACTAGGCGTAGGCTGGGGTGCCACGCCTATGTCATCGATATTCCAAAGATTCACACGAAGCGTTTCGATTCCACATTTATATGGCGAACGGCTAACGTATGGAATTTCCTGCCTGCATTTCTTCCCCAAACGCCATAACTTGGGCCTTTTCAAGGTGAGAGTGAATAGGCATTATTTACGTGTGTATGTTGCATCGCCGCTTTCTATCAGGTAAGATGGTCGAATGCGCATTTATTTTCTTATAAAAAAAATACGCTTATCGTTTTTAGTATATCAACATTAATTCTTTTT